ATTCCAGGAAGGCTGCAGCACTTAATGAATCTTCGTCGTTCATCGGCGACAATGCGAGCAACACCTTCTCGTATCCACGCAACGAATCACTTGGGAACGACGCAAAGACCGCCACGTAATGCGTCGACCCACTTGTCCAGGCATCAATTACACACGCAAACGACTTGGGCAGGGTATTCTTTAGCTTCGCTTCCAACCAACGACACATTTGGTGCATCCATTTCATGAGCGTCTTGTTCCTGATGGGACCAATGTTCGAGTAGCGGCGAGCCATGTCGTTTTCACAAAATTTGAAGCGCAACAGCGACGACGTAATCCAGGCCAGCCAGCCGTACACGTTCCGCACACTGTGAGAGAACAGGGGCATGAACAGATTGTGCTCCGAAATCGGGGCTGTGGCGTCATAGTTCTGGTACTCGGGGTGTTCGCGCTCAATGTACGACGTCAAATTCGTGTACCCAGTGCCGTTTTGTATACAGCGCTACCCACATTTACAGAACCAAAGCGTCGATTCAGGTGAGGTATGTGTAAGGTACAGCTCGGCGAATTGTTTTCCTCGAAGGGGCGATGGTTGGTTGTTGTCGTTGGTCATCAAAATGAATTGTGTTTGTTTGGTTTGATTGTAACTACGTGTGAAGTTGATGGCTGTGGTTGCATTCGATTTGCACGGAAATGATTGGCCTTTGTTTACAGCACTTTGAATTGAATGGAGGATAGAAAATTCTTCAAAACTCAATACTTATTTTTGTGTAGAGGTCCAGGTCAATACCTATTCTCTCTCGAAGTGCAAACGAATTATTTATTCTTTTGAAAGGATTTCAGAATAATTTATTATATACTTTTAAATAAATATATTCCAATAAAAATAACTCTTTCTCAACCTCTGGATACAAGAAGGAGGCATGGATGGAAACGCTGAAGAAACTCAACGACGAGCACAACCATGTCATCCCGTTCACTCTCCAGCAGCTCAAATCAAGACATGATACAATCAAGGGGGCATATGCGATCATTTTGAAGATTGTCAACAGCAGCGGCATGGGATGAGAGGCTACAACTTGCCGCGTTGAGTCCCTGACAACGACATGGGACAGTTTTCTTGAAGGAAGGCCGAAGGCGTGGGGTGCCTGGCGCCACAAACGCTTTCCACAGTTCGATTTGTGTGAGGCACTGTTCAGTGGAACGCTTGCCCGCGGACTTTCGGTGATTTCGTCATCTGACCCTCCCCCAAGTGTGCCACCAAGTGCTTTGATGCAGGACACCTCTGTGTGTTGTGGATAACACACAGAGCCAGCACGACGTCGACTTTAAACGCGAAATCGTACCGAATGCCCTTGGACAAAATGGGCAAGCGCATCTTCAGGATTCCAAAAATCCTCTCGATGCAGTTGCGTAACTGGGCATGGCGCAAGTTGAAGAGTTCTTGCTATGTACGGGGCTTCAAATAACCGATACCACACACTTTCAAGTGGTATCGTGTGCCCAGGTAAGGTGTCAAACACTTCATCGCCAGGGCAAATCCAGCATCACCAAGGTACTGCGTCGGAGAGAGCGTCAATTCTTTTTGGAGGGCATCATTATATACCTTGCCATCCCCTGCGGTTCCCTCCCAGCTGGCCAGGACAAACGTGAATACCAGGTCGAAATCGCACGCGGCGAGGATATTCATGGTAACGCCCTTGCGACCGTGAAAAGGAGCAGCTTCAGTAGCACTCACCCAAACTGGGATGTGCGTCCCATCGAGAGCCATACGACACTTTTCAAAGAAGGGATAGAACTTGCTGTTGGCCGTGATCACAGACGGAGTTGGGGCGTCTTCCGGTGGCTGGCAAATGTACAAAGGTACAAGGCGTCTCAGAGCATGCATGACAAGTCGAAGTTGCCGTGACATGGTCTCTCCAGAATGCTGGAAGCGCTGTTGCATGTTGGTAGACGATACACTCTGCCTCAAAAGTATAGGAACAGGCACAACTGCTCCGGTGGAGAGACTTTCGAGTTCCACAAAGACCCCGCGGTTGATGAGGCCGAAAAGCAAGGCACCCAACGTTTTACGAGGCAGTCGGAAGTTTTCGATGAACGCAGATTCGTTGCCTTCGAGCATTTCGGCCGCCCCCATGGCGCCTGTCAAGATTGACACCCTCTTCGACGACTTGAGAAGGAAGGCTGAGTAATGGTACTCCATGTAAGCCATGGTGACCATGCGGCGTCATTTGTGAAAGCGTCGACGAAGCAACAAGAGCAATAGTTGTGGCCTCATCAGTCGTCCTGCTTCTCGCGCGCAAACTCTTGAACGTTCGTTGATTTGGTATCCAGACTGTTACGAAAAAAAGTATTGAACCGATATTTGACTATTTTGAGAGAATATGAAAATGAGCTAATTTTTTTATAGCACAATAATATATGGGTCGGTATCCAGAGGAGCCCTAACTGTAAACTAAATATGCTCTCATTTTTTCGTGAATTGCGAATTGGAACCACATGATGGATTCGCCTTGTCGAGATCTATCGTTTTTGTGGTTAATTTGCTAGGAAAAAATAATACTGACATGGTATAACGCTCTAAAAAGTGCTCAAAATATCGTCGTTTCTAGGCTTCTTGCACCATACGTACTCTAGAGGAAGTAAGCTTATTTGCAGTACACCACAGTTGTTCACGTTCATTCGTGGCTATCAATGGTCTTATATTAGTGTGAGGTGTCGTCATGTTGTTGCAAAGACGCTTGCATCGCGCTCGTGAACCGTTGTCGCCAAGGCACGAAATCTGCATTCTCCAGTCGGATCAATTCGCGCCGGATGTACTCGTCCTTCTGGTCGTCGTCTTCGATGCCCGTCACATCGATGCCTCCCAACGCCGCTAGCTCGTCGGAGCTGACAAATCCTTTGTGGGCTCGAAACGAGCGAGACAAAAAGCCGACTAACCGCATTAAGATATGCGTGGGCGACACCTGTCGAACCTCGGTCCTATGACGTGGCATCACGAAACAACATCTCGCTTCAAGTGCTAGAAGTTCATCCTTACCACGATCGGTAGTGCCGCTGCGTCAGCATAGGGTGGCACGCATGCGCTTCGTCGTGTTCGACTTGCCGCACGACTACGATGAACCGATCTGCTTCGACGAAGTGGCCTTGGAGCGAATTTATGAACACGCCGTTGGCCGTAGTGGTGCAAAACAGTCGCGTGTTGGCCGTGCACTCTTCG